TTTAATAGCAAGTTTTGGTAATTGAACCTTTAAATTGCAGCTTAATGTCGCTGTGTCATTGTGATCTGTTCTAAATATGTGAATGGCTCTGAGTGCACACTGTAGTCTGACTGCAGCTCAGATAAAGCAGCTACAGTTTCACTGTGAGACATGCTTTTGGCTGTTGTTTCTTAGGAAAGCAAAGTCTGTGCTTTAATAGTATGAGGCTTTTGATAAAGCATCTTAAACAAATGTGTCCATGCAAATAAGGTATTTCCAAAGAAGTTTAGGAGGAGAGATGGTATCGGTATCGGAAATCAAAAAGAGGTATCAGACCATCCCTAATACATATACATACATACATACATACATACATATATATACACACACACACACACACATATATATATATATATCTTGGAGAATATTTGATATGTCAAAGTGACATTTCACAAATATCTTTACAAATAAAGCTTGCTGAGCAGAAATGTGATGCTTGGAGATGGAATGAGCTGCATGGAGAACTTTTCTTCAGTTTCACCGTCTCAGACAGACGGTAAGAGCTCTGAGCTGCTCCAACACTTCACACATTTAAGAGAATATGAGTTTAGTTCATGTCCTGGTTCTCCATGAGGCAGTGAGCAGCCGTGGCATCGCTACAACCAGCAAACTCCTGCACAGTCAGACCTGGAGTCAAAGGTGCTGCTCAGAGCCGACCTTCACTTATTTATGTATTTGGACAGGATTGTTCCAGTCACTGCACTGGAGGCAAAAAATGAATTTATGTTGTGTTGTTATCTTTTAATAGCTTGAAAGTCTCAGTGTGTGCTTCATTAAATCCAACCTTCCAAAGGTTTCAGACTGAACGTTTCCTCCTAAATGTCTGGCTTGAACAGATCTGCTGGATGCTCACAGCTTATCCACGAGTTGTTAGAAGCCGGCAGCAGGCTGCAGGCTGCAGGCTGCAGGCTGCAGGTAGTCGTCATCAGCTGCAGGATGATCAAGAAGCAACGTTTAAAACCAGCAGCTGGTGCTCAGTGAAAACGTTAAAGGCTCGCTTGGTGCACAGTGTGGACAGGCTTTGGAGGACAAGCAACCTTCTGTGGAGAGCTTCATTCTTAATTTGTGGAGTAATGTATTGATAGTTAAGCATAGTAAAGTATTTAGAAAATATGTGGAATAAATGAGGCTCCTTTAATGTGCAGACGACAGCCCTGAAGCTAAAGGTTAAACATGCTAGCTTCCTTTAGCCTGACGCCTGGTTTTTCTGTTTGACAGATTATCATGATTAGAACGACCCGTGAACTCTGACGCAGTCCGATGTGCCATAAGTTCTGCTGTCGGCATGTCCAGGTGATCATAGTGTTCATCACTGAGGCGGTGTTGGATGCATGGTGTCTATCAGGGTTCCTAATGTGCTGCTGCTCTGCTCATGCATGTGAATGTGTTGGACAAAATATTAGGAACACTTTCAACACAATGACCTGAGTTCTTTGGCCTCAGTCATTAATATAAAGTAGAATGATCACCTTTGAGGCGAACAAAATGTGACCCTGAAGAAGCTTCAACCAGCAGAGCTTACAGCAGATCTGTTGACGGCTTTAGAGTCCGTCAGCGTCCCTAATAAAGTGGCCACTGGAGCGCGATGTCCAGCGACCACACCAAAGACACCAAAACCCAAGCTGACCCAATAAGAGACGAGCAGCCTGCAGGGACCAAGCAGCTGATAAAGGGAATGAGTGATTTATCATTTAGCTTCTGATCAAAGCACCTCCGTCCTACAGAGCCAGAGCTGCAGGTGATTATCATCATTCCACATCTCAATAAAGGAGAGATCAATAGGGAGCAGCGTTTAAGAATGAAGGTTTGCAGAGCAGCGCTTACTGATGTGAAGGCTTCTTTGATTAGCATATGCCCACCAAGACAGAAGATAAATCCCTCTGGAGGCAGATAGCTGATAGAGCTGCTTATCGGACACGCTCGGATCATCTGCTCAGATAAGGTGGTGATGTGCAGGCGGCGGGCGGCGCCGGCACCAAGACAGAATGATATTTAAAGAAGAGCCTCGGAGGACTCACTGCTTTGAGGAACATCAGATGATAATTGGACATTTATGGTGACCTCAGATATAAATGAAAGGAGTTCTGACAGCAGAGTGGTAGAGGAGCAGAGCAGGAACTCCCCAAAGAAGGAGGCCATTCTTACAGGCTTTTTGCAGGAGCTTCATTTGGAGAGAGAGTCTGAGCCTGAATCAAAGGGATGAATGTTGGACTGTTTCCATCCATCCGTCTTCATCTGACTGCTTGTGATTCTCGACCTGTCCGAGCTTCGCTTCGTGACGTCACCGCAGTGGGTTTGGAGAGAAAATGATTAAGAGGAGAAGAAGTGATGGCCAGAGGTCCAGAAAGCAAAACGCAGCCAGTATTTAATTATACGTTTTTCGTCCACTTAAACTCGTTGGTGAAAGCTGAACCTTCCCGGTCAGCTCAGAGGGTTTGACTCTGAGAAGCTTCTCTTCTTATGGAAGGAAGAGTTTGAATATTTGCAGTTTGATCAGAGCTTCAGTGGATGCATCAGCAGAACAGAGCAGCCTGTGTTCAGTCACTGAAGGCCTTTACAGTGGATATCCACTTTCAGTACGTTCTGTGTGTCTCACACACTCAGAGGTGTAAAGGAAGAGCTGTGGGAATATCCAACCACGAGCACATGGATGGTTCTGCTGTTTGCTGCAGGAGTGAACACGACAGCCTTCATGCACTCCCAGCATCTGAGCACCCGGTGGATTACTTTAATAACGGTGGCTACGGCAGCACAGTGCCAGCGTGAGAGACGGATTAGAAACAAGCAAGTTGTGCACATGGTGGATCCCAGACACACAGTTTTCTTCCTGAAGTCTAAAGCAAAACGTTCTCTCTTTGACTGACATCAGAACATCTGCTTTTTCCCCTCTGAGCTGCACCAGATCAGAAGATCACAGGTTGAAGAATCTAATCACTGAAACATGATGCATGTTCAGGCAGAGACCAGCAGCTCCTGCACACACTGACGCTGGTCGTTTTGGTTCAATGTTATGTTTTACCTTGAAGTAAATCACTGGTGCTGTCCTGGATCGGTCTCATCCCTAAAACACACACATGTTGTGTGATTTGTGGTGAGGCTCAGACGAACCGTGTGTCTGCTCACTAAAAGCGTCAGATTTACCAATCTGGATTTATGAATGACG